CCAGCCTGAAGCTCAGTGTCTTTAAAAGACCAGGACCAGTGGCTGACTGAGGCAAAACTGAAGTCGCACCGGTGCAAATTCCTTGCAGGAGCCTAGACAGCAGAAGCCAGCAGAGGAAGTGGCCATTCTCTCATTCCCCAGATGGCGTGGCTGGCTCAGGGATTGGTGAAGAAGAGAGCTCTGACTGCCATGGTTGCCTCCTAGATCTCCAAGAGATGGATTTGAAATCAATCAAAACCCTCTCCCACCCAAGCAGCAATTACCCACCCGACCCTGACCCCGAATCCCTGGCAGATGGGCCTCTCCAGCTCACTGCCTCCAAAAATGGGGCGCTCACGCCTTCCCCCAGGCAGCCTGCCCATCTGGATCGCAGTGATGGCTTCCCCCGAGGGTTCCAAACACCATCTCCTGGGCAGGGCAGGATCTGGCTGCTCCCTCCACCCCAGGGCAACCCTGCAAAGATAGGCACAAACTCTTCCCTACACCCCTGCCACCAAGTGTGCAGGGGAGAAGCCAGGGTGGTGCTCTGTTTTCAGAGAATGGAATATTTGTCTTCCAAGAGCATTTGACCCTGGGGTCCATGGTTAGAATTATAGTTGGATAGAATGAGTTTCCTTTGCAGCTCTACATATCTTATTTCATGCATTCAAAAACCCTGTTTGAGATTGGGCCATAGGCTTCTTTAAGCCCTGGAAGTGGCAGGTTTCGGGAAGTCATTCTAGCCTGGGCGTATCTCCCACTCTTGGAGAACCCTTCCTCCTCACCTTTGAAGGAACAACTTCTCAAAAAAAAAAAAAAACTTGTATATGATTTTTAAAGGTTACTTTCAATTTACAGTTATTGCAAAATATTGGCTCTATTCCCCATGTTATGTAATACATCCCTAAGCTCATCTTACACCCAAGAGTTTGTAGCTTCCACTTTTCCACCCCTACGTTTCCCCTCCCCAACACTGGTGACCACTAGTTTTTCTCTAAATCCGCTGAGTTTGCTTCTTTCTTGTGATACTCACTAGTTTGTTGTGTTGTTTAGTTTCCACATGTAAGTGATATCAGACAATATTTGTCTTTCTCTGTCTGACTTATTTCACTCAGCATAATGCTCTTCAAGTCCATCCATGTTGCTACAAATGAACATTTTGTTCTTTTTTATGGCTGAGTAGTATTCCATTTTATATATGTGAGTGTGTGTATATATGTGTGTGTGTATATATACACACATATACCACATCTTCTTTATCCATTCATCTGCTGATGGACACTTTGGCTTCTTCTATATCTTGGCAATTGTAAATAACACTGCTATGAACATTAGGAAACATGTATCTTTTCAAATTAGTATTTTTGTTTTTTGGGGATATATGCCCAGGAGTGGAATTGCTGGATCATCTGGTAGTTCTATTTTTAGTTTTTTGAGAAACCTCCATGATGTTTTCCACAGTGGCTGCACCAATTTACATTCCCACCAGCAGTGCACAAGGTGAAGGAACTACTTTAAAGGTGGGTAAGACCAAGACCGGCTCCCAGGTCTGATCTGTACCACCATGTTTCTTCAGTGCCCTGAGGCAACCAGACCATCCAGCAGACATTGGTGGCACTCCTGAGGGCTGAACACTGTTCTAGAAGGGCAGGCAAAGATGGTTCAGACCCAATCCCAGCTTCTGGGAGTTCTTGCCAGGTCAGGTAGACACATTCCAGCCACACCCTGTTGCCCACCCTTCCCCAGCGCACCAGGGACATCCTCCATGCTGGGCTCTGCCCGTGCTGCTCCTCAGGCCTGAGGCCCACCCCATGCTCCTCCCCTAGCTGAGCCTCCCTCAACCTCCCAGCGCCCAGCTGGACTACCAACCTTAGTGCGAATACCCTTACTCTCGTAGAGAGTCCCAGTTGAGTGTGAGCCTCCACAAAAGACTACCTTGGCTTTGGACATACTTGCACCCATGATGGATGGAGATAAAAGGTGGAGAATGCCAAGGAACAGGTCGCCTTGGCCTCTGGCTGGCCCAGGAGGATATGCGGTTGACTCGCAGGCTGGGTCAGGAATCAGCACAGGGGTGCTTCCTCCTGGGTTGGCTGCCCTTAGTAGGAGGACAATGGGGCAGCTTTCCTCCTGAGCATCCCCACTGCCTCGCTATGAAGTGATGCTACAGTCACCCTCATCCAGAGCTACAGGAGCATGGTAACCTTTGATTGCCTGAGTTGGTAGACAGCCACTCCTATGCTTTGGGACTCTCCAAGTGACAAGCAGTTCATTCATTCAACGAAAATTTATTGAGCACCGTTCCAGACGGCAGAAACACAAAAAAATCCCTGCTCTCAAGGAGCTTACATTCTCTTAGGGAGAGACAAGCAATATAGAAAATAAAGTTAAAAGTATGGTATGGTACACTAGAAGGTGATAAGTACCATAGATTAAAAAATAAATCAGAAAGAGCAGGATGTTACTCATGGGGAAAGTGACATTTGAGTAAAGAACTGAAAGGATCAACAGAGGGAGCCAGGGGGATATCTGGTAGAAGAGCGTTCCAGCAACGGACATGGCACGTGCAAAGGTCCTGAGGCAGGAATGTGGCTGACACTCTGGAACAGCCAGGATAGAAGGGTAGTTGGAAAGACGTGAGATGGGGGAGAACAGCAGAGACAGTGACAGATGGAGAGGTTGATCCTGTGGGAACTTGAGGCGGCTGTGATGACTTTGGCTTTGACTCCAGGTGAGATGGAAGCCACGGAGGTTTTGAGGAGTTATGTGATGTGGCTTAAATGTTCACAGGACCACTGTGGCTGCAGTGTAGAGAACAGACCACTGGGGAGTTGGGGAGAGATGATGGTGCCCAGCCCCATGCTGTGGCAGCAGAGGTGAAGGGAAGTGGTTAGATTCTGGGTGTATTCTGAAGAAGGAACGATACACCAGGCATTGTCCCTGGTCCTGTGCACCATTTTCTCTTGTCCTTATAATCATCCTGTTTAGAATGGCCTTTATCCTCATTGCACAGATAGGAAAATTGAGGTTCAGAAAGGTCACACAGCCAGTGAGAGATTCGACCCAGGCTGATCCAAGCCTAAACCCAAGTTCTTCATACTCCAGTTCAGTGCCTGCCTGGTCAGGATTCCAACAAGGAGAACACCTAGCCACGGACTGCCAGAGAAGGGAACAAAATCACGACACTTACCAGCTGAAAACACCATGCTGATTTGGAATTGTCCATGACACGTTACCTTGACATGCTTTTTCTTTCCATTTCAGTTCCAATGAAACTTACTGGTGTTAAGCATTTTTATTTTAATTTATTTATATTTATTCCAATTTTTCATCTATCTTTTTCTTTTTAACTCCACCCAAAATCATCAGTGAAGGGAGAAGTCCGTAAGAAGAGGGAAGTCCTTTGGTAATTGCAAGGTATGAGCTGGGGCACCTTGTTTCTTACCAGAATCATCCATCTGCACTTATGTTCCAAGCACTGCTATGGGCCAGGGAACCCAAGGCAGACAGGGGATGACTCTGACCCAGTCCCTGCAGGACAGAATAGAAGAGACATTAACAGCCAGCATAGGGGAAGAACCATGTCAGGGTGAGGCTGCCTAGCAAGGACCCAGGTAACTGAACAGGGAGGTCCAGCCAGGGGAGAATGGAATCTGAACACAGACAGGAGGGAGAGCAACCCCAAGTTCAATCCCAGAAAAGGTCTAGCGATGGCAGAAGGGACCATCGACAGACATTTGAGCTGAGGCAGAGGTGCTCCAAAGCCCAGGCCAGCATGTCTTCCAGGAGGTAGCGGGGCCACCCTTTACCAGCACTGGAGGAAAGCTGGGAGGTGACTCCTCCAGAGAGAAGGAGGAAAAGTCATGGATTCTCACTCAAATCTACTGCTGGGGTGATTATTAAAATGCAGTGGGGGTGCAGTGACTTTAATTTAAAGAGCCCCAGGAGCATGTGGGGCCCTGGGGCTGAGTCCACGTGGGGAATGGGAGTGGGGAGCCCCTCTCTAGAGGGTGAAGTGGGGCTCTAAGTCTCATCTGTCACCTCCAGAGCTGTCCAAGTCCAGGTCTCTTCAAGTGAATGTGAAAAAGGAAGGAAAGAAAGAGGGAGAGAAAAAAAGGGAGAAAGGAAGGGGAATGGGAAGAAAGAATAGAAAAAGGGAAGGAGACAAGATAAGGAAAAGGAGAAGGGGGAAGTAGACCAGTCCCAAAGGGCAGGCAGGTCCTTCTCCAGAAGTACCAAGCCCTGATCTGGCCCAGGCAGCACCCTGGGAACTGGAGAGAAAAGCTTCCCTTCAAACATCGCAAAGGCACACGGATGTCCAGGAGGCTCCAGCCACAGGACAAGGACCAAAGCAATGACCTGGAACTGCTGCGGCCATGCAGAAGATTCCACCATGCTCACCTTGACACAGCTGCGCCTGCATCCTGAGGTAGATACCAACATCCTCATAGGTGGATGTGCACACCCAGAAAGGCACCAACAATATGGGCACAGCCACAGAGACACTCACTGATGCACAGACGTGGGCAGGTTTCAGATGTGCACAACATACAGAGAGGCACAAGGCACTGGGAAGAACACACGTGGGGTACAGTGATGCTTACGTGGATGCCAACAGAAAGACGCAGACCCATGTCCACAGATACTGGCAGAGGTGGCCAGATGTGCACCAAATGGGCACATGTGATACTGATATTAGGTTGTACACAAATGGACAGATACAGGCAGAAACGGACAGACACATACACGAATACCAACAAATGCGTTCACACAAGTTCACTTATACACACGTGCAGGCACATGTACACAGGTGCACACTGACATGCAGACACACGTTGACACTGGTGTGCACAACTATATACACACATGCACTTAATACTTGTACTGATGGACGATACATATACACACACATTGATAAGGACACATGCTCCCAGAAGCATCCTCAGATACAGGTACATGCACAGAGGCACACTCAGACACTGGCCGACATGCTCAGGCACACACATATACACGCACCCCTGAGCCGGCTGTCCTCAAGCCAGGTCCCCTCCTGCCCGGCTCCTGCCAGCTGCCAGCGCTCAGGCTCTCCCACTATCCCTTCATCCTCCCATTGGCCTTGGTCCAGGCTTCAGGCTCCGGGATGGCAACTGCCCCATTCTCCCAGGTGCCAACTCAGCCAAATTTCACACCCAGAAGTGGAGCGAGGCCAGTGGGACCTGTTAAGGCTGGCCCGCTTGGGGCATCAGCGCGGGGGTGGTGGGAGGGAGCCAGGAGCCTGTAGTGGCAGAGGGAGGGGCAGCCCCAGCCGCCGTGCAGGCCTGTCTGGCAAGGCTGCCAGCTTCTTCTTTTCCGGGTCATCTGCCCTTGGCAGGCCTCAGGCTCCTCACCTCTGAAATGGGACAATATGCCTATTCCTCTGACGTCAATTAAAAACCCATCACCTCCCAGATGACAAAAGGATTTTGCCTAACCTTCCTCTGTTTCATCTTTACAATAACCTCAAGGAAAAGGTGTTATTTTCCCTGTTTCATACCAGGAAGCTGAGCTCTGGAAGGGTAACTCACTTAAGGGAGCATGCAGCACCGGAACCCTGGTTCCTGCTGTAAATTCCGCAGCTTTTGTGGTCAATAAATACACAGCCCATGAGCCACCAACGTCCAAATACTTGCTCACAGCAGACATCACTCATTGATCGTAGTCTCTCTTTTGGTGACTCCAGGCTTGGACTTGACACCACTCCAGGCAGCCACTCATAACTGGCCAGAGCTGGTACCCAGGATGAAACCTACTGCCGTCCTGTCACTACATCTAATTCTTCAAACTCAGAGGGTGGATCTGAAGATAAATGAAATCAATGGCAGAAAGTGCTTTGAAGGAGCACAAGTGGCATGCCTATCCGAGGAGTTTCAGCACAGTTTCCAAAGGCTCTTTATATCCAGATTCTCCTGAGACTCGCTACTCTGGGCTGGAGGATTAGAGACAAGACAGGCACTATCTTGGCTCCATTTCACAGAGCAAGAGACTGAGGCTTGGGCCAAGTGAGTCCACAGCTAAGAGTCAGAGGTAGGACTGGTGTTCAAGCATCTTCTGTTTTAATGCTCTTTGAATGTCCACAGCCCAAGCCAGACAGGACAGGCCAGAGTGTGGGGGCCAGGGGAAGCCAGGGCCAGGGCGGGATAGGGTGGGGAGGCAGCAGGAGGACCCAGTCTCCTCCCAGCAGAAAGTCATCGACCCTACAACGAATTGGTTCAGAGTGCTTCCTTTGACCCTAATTAGCTATTTGTCTTGTCTCCATTTGCATACCAGAAAAGATGCAAATTTGCATATTTGTAAATGAGGCCGGGCCTGGATGTGGGTCTGGAAGAGCTTGGCAGTTGCTGGCAGGCAGGGAGGCAGCTGGCTCTTGCCACCGAAGCAGGGGCCGAGGAACGAAGGAGATTTGGAAGACAGCTCTTTGGCTTGGGGCTACAAGGTGCTTACCAAGGGGGTCAGACAGGATGGCCCACCTCGCTCCCTCCCCAGGGCTGAGTGGTGGGCAAGGAGAATGGGGGAGCCTAATGCTGCTATTTTGATTAGATGAGACAAGGAGAGGGGGAATATAAAGTAATTTCAGGACGCTCTGTGCTGGGAAGCCTTCTGTTCCCGTCCTTGGATAGAATCTGTAACACTTGCTGAGGGGGGTGGCGGGGGACGTCCCCCTCCACCTCGCGTCCCCCTCCACCTCGATGGAGACGAAAAGGTTTGGGAGGGAATGGGAGGTTGGGGGAATTGCCTCCTAACACGAACTCTCTCTCTCCCCCAGGCTCTCAGAGGCACACGTACACACATGCACACCTACCAGTCACGCATACATGTGTGTACACACACGCACAAGCCTCAGCCCCTCCAAGAGCTCCATCACCCACAACTCTCCCAGACCCACAGAGATACACACGCAGCTCTAACAGGAGAGGCACATTCACACATGTACACATTCCCAGACTTCCCGCCACACACACATTCACGCCCTTACACATACAGACACACACTCAAACACTTGCACATAGATGTAGGCATACAGACTCACTTAAGCTGTGCGTAAATATTGACACACACACACACACACACACACAAGCCGTACACGAGCATATCCTTGCTGAGGCCAGATTCCCTGGCAAATACTGGAAATTCTGACCCCTTTGCCAGAGTTTCTGGGGCCTCTTGAGGAAGAGACAAAGGAAGCCAGGTAGCCATCCTTCTCAGTAAGGGAGCAGATGTGTCCCCAGGGAATTGGACCTGAGTCGGCACCCACTCCCTCTAGGAAAGCTGTGATGAGCAAACGCCCCACTGCCTTCCGGGCTTTGGTCTGGGGCTTGGAGCGGGGTCCGGGTGTGCCTTGATAAACAGGAGAGCACAGGAGGCAGGGGGCAGGGGGCAGTGATGCACTGGTGGGGCCCGGCCCGTGCAATGAGCAGAAAAGCCTCAATCAGTGCCTCGGAATGTCTGTGTTGACCTTGGGGGCCAGTGTGGAATGAGGTAAAACAGGCTGCTGCCCCTGACAGCATGAGGGTCCCAAGAGGGAAGCCCCGGACCCAGGAGCATCCCAGGAGCTGGGGCCCAGGTGCTGGACCCCGAGGCCCAAGGTCAGGGACCCAATTCCTCAACCACTGCTCCCACTCCCAGCACCTCCTCCCCTCAAGCCTGCACCTCAAAAGGCAAGCTCAAGAACTCCGTATTTGTAAATTAAATATAGCTGCACTCCAGCTTTCCAAAGAGCTGGGAAGGAGAGAAGGAGAGAGAAAAAGAGAGGGGAAGAGAAGAAAAGCAGCCGCCCTCAGGGAAGTCTGGCTGGTACAGATTGCCTGAGTCATGAATATTCATCTGGCGAATGAGGAGAGCGGGAGTTTGCATAACAGCTCCACCCACCCAACTGAAAGAAATGTCACCGCCTTTGCCAATAAAGTGCCAAAGGAAGCCGGTGGAGGCTGCCAGCCAGACGGTGCCAAACTGCTGACTTCCACTCCCAGGCGTGGAGAAAGCACATTGTTTCCGGCCCAAGGAGCCGCCACTTGGGGCTGGGGGAATGAAGCTGGCAGCTGGGAGAGAACCAGGAAGAAAAGTTTCGCTTGCCACCCACAGGAAGCCTGGTGGGCAGAGCGCCTGGGCCACAGCCCTCCCTGGGGCCCCTCTGAGGAGAGGCTCGAACCCCACTGATCCAGGGTGTCCACTCTGACTGACCACCCTGGACCCGGGTCCCCATGGCAGCATCCCTGTTGGCTCCCAGCTGAGAACTCCATGCTTGAGACTCCCTAAAAGAAATCTCAAGAGGGTCCTCATGAGTCCTGGATGGTTACTAGAGACCAGGAGGCAAGGGGTCAAATTGGATGTGAGCTTGGGGCCCAGAAGTCCACAGTAACTTTGACCCCATTTTGCAGAAGGAAACACGCCAACAGCAGGTGACTCTGCCCTCCCTGGGTCACACTCCCTTCTAAGGCCCAAAACTGCTGTCTCTTTTTCCAAGAAATCTTCTCTGATCCCTTTCCCCAGGACAGAATCCATCTCTCCATCCTCAGTACCCTCAATTCTGAAAGCTTGCCTTAATACCAACCCTTTCCTGCCCGTGTTTCCTCCCCAGGGCTGTGAGCTCTGAGGGCAGCATGGAGGTGGACCCATCTGCCTCAGTGTCCCAGCTCAGCAAGAGATTCAGAGAAGGCACTGGAGCAATTAGTTGATGATTAGCTGTTTTCTGCCGTCCATTCCCATCCCCACACCTGGCCCTGGCCCTGGCTCCTTCCCGCTGCCCTGAGTCATGCTTGTCGGGTCCCTGGGAGATGACGCATCCTGTACCGGCCGCTCAGTCTGGGCCCACTGGGATCAGGACAGGTGCTGAGCGGACGACCTCCCATCCTCATGCCCTGCTCCCCGCGGCATCCCAGCCCATCCTTTTGGGGGTGCTCACTCAGGGGTGTTACAAACCCGCCTCTGCCCGCCAGTCTGCCGCAGCTGGCTCCCTCCAGTAATTACCTAAATGAATGGAAGAAGCAGTGCTGGAGAGAGGATGTTCTCTTAGTACAGAAAAGCAATTAGGGCTGTGGGCGTCTCCAGCTGCCGCTCCTGTTTTGTAAAGTTTGGGATGTGTATTTGGGGCTTAATGAGGATATTTATGTGTTCACATCTTACCTTCACAGACTGTTCATTTCAAGTGTCCCAAGTATTCTTCAGCTGGGTACACAGCAATATGAGCCAGGCGACAGGCTCCAAGGGAGCAGTCTCACCTCTGGGTAGCAGAAGGGCCCCTTCCCCGGGCTCATGGAACCCCAGAAATCAATGATGACACCCACTGGAGCCTGGCTGTCTTCCGCAGCATCCCTGACAGGTCCACACTCTGCTTGAGGCCTCTGGAGACTGGAATTCCTCCACTGCCTCTTCCATGGTTAAAACATCTGCGGTTGTTGCCAACTTCTTCCTTGAACGGAGCCAAAATTGGCCTCTTTGCAATGTCCTCGCATTGGCCCAAACACCGTCCCTGGGACCACACAGGACATGTCACTCCCACAGCCCCAGGGCAGCCACTAGTCCTGCAGCGGGTAAATTGGTGTTAAGTTGAAGACGTTTCTGTGATCGATCGAGTCTGGGAGAAATCTACCTTAAAATTCCTTCAGTGCAGGACTTCTCAGAGCCTTTACCGTGCTCACAGGCCCTGGGCAGGGGTGCTGCATTTCGTGAACATATTTGCTCACAGAACTCTTTTCTGTGGAACAACCTCAGGAAACTAGAATTCCAAGGAGCACGTTTTAGGAAACAATTGCTTCTGCAGGTTAACAGCAAACGTCCAATTCCTTGGCTTGAGCTCCCTCAAGCATCGCATTTCTCCTAGATCAAGCGTAAAGCCTGGGTTCCCCCCAACCAATCCTGGGCATTTCCTATAAGTGAGCTCTGCCCATGTGGCTGCGTTCCTCTTCTGCTGCAGGCAAGCCCTGGCCACCGAGAGTCCAGGAGAGCCTTTACCTCTTAAATCTAGGACCGAGTGCTCCCATCGGAGCCATCAAAACACCACTGGAGGCACAGCAGCTGAATCACACCGAATGTCTTCCCTAAAAGTCCTCCCAGTAAGCCACAATGGAAGCCCAACTCCTCATCCTGTCCTCCAGCCTCACAGCTGGGACCCACAGGCAGGCCCCCTCTATGCCAGGTGTTCCAGACAGTGGGGTCCCTGCTAGACCTTCCCTGGACAGCCAGATGGTGGGCCACGGTGGGCTCCCAAATATCTGTGCACCAACCAGTAATTCACACACAGTCGGGCTTCTTCACAGCATCACCCAGAGCATAAATGTGTTCTAGCAGCTGGTCACCCCGGCCTCACAGACAGAGCACTCCGACCACCCTGGGCTCCGGACCCGGAAGTATCCCTGGGCTGAAGCCGTAGTCCACACCTGCACTGGAGGCCCTGGCTGCCTCAGGCCTCCTCTCTCCAGCACCTTGAATCACCCCACCATGTCTGCCTGCCATCTCATCACTTTCCAAGTATGTGTTCAAGCCCAGGCACGAAAAAGAGGTTCATTTCCTTGGCCAACTCCAATCGATTGCTAGTGGCTCCCTGGCCTGGATGTTGGGAGAAAGAGTCTGAGGCTTCATCTGGGCTCAGCAGAATGATTAGTGATGCCTGCCGGTGCTGGGGGACGGGCAGGAGGCACACGTGCTGTTTATCGCCATCCCTGATCAAGGCTCTGTCCCTGTCCCTCGAGTCTGTTCTCCCAAGCCATCACCCTCCTTCCTCCCACCACAAACTCTCCTCCGGTCCCACACACACCATGTATGGCCCCATTCTCCCACCAAAGCGGCTCTTTCTAAGCTCACCAAACTCCTATCTGTCAAGCCCTGTGCCCTCTCCTTGATGTCAGTGCCGTTGCAGTCTTAGATATGGTTGACCTTTCTCTGGAAATTCACTCCTGCCCCCATGGAATTCGGAGGCACTCTGTGCCCCTGGTAGCCCCTTCCTGATGACTCATCCTGTCTCTTCTCCCGACTCACCAACATGGCCATGTTCCAGGGCCTGATTTTCAGCCCTTTCTTCTTCTCAGATGCACACGCTCCCTCGCTCCAAGATCTCATCTACAGTTCTGTCCTTGGGGAAGAGACAACCCCCTTCGCCTCTGCAGCCTCCTAGCCCACCAGCCACTGCCATGAGCCAAAGCCCTGAGAACCCAGTGCCTCCTCCTCCCTCCAGAATCAGCTCCTGCCCTGGGCTTCCCTCCCCGCCTGACCTTCCAGGCTCCAGGATCACACTTTGAGCTTGCGTCTTGAGTCCTTCTCCACAGCCATGAAATCACACGTGCTGATTCCTCTTGTTTAATATTTACCTAATTTCCAAACTGAAAATAGCTTTATTATGTGTTCTGATGGAAAAGCAGGTTATATCCTCATTATTAAAAAGAAAAAATCAAACCCACACTTTAAAGTATGAAAAAGAAAGTTTAAAAATCTCTCAAAATCCTCCCTCCCAGATATAACCACTCCAAGCATTTTGGTGAACAGGCTTTCAGACATATCCCTATGCATATATACGCACAGAGATCTATGTATATAATTTTATAGACGAGGGATTGTATTATACATACTGTTCTCGCTGACACCTGCTTTTCTCTCTCAACAATATGTCCCAGACATCTTTCTATGTCAATAAATAGAGCTCTACAAAATTATTGTAATTACTTCATAGTATTCCACTGCATGTATGTAGCGCACTTTATTTAGCTGGGTCTCTATTGATGGTTTAGAATGTTGTCAAGATTTTACTCTCATAAACAATGTCATGAGAAATAGCCGTGTGCCTAACTCTTTGCTCCTTTCCGCAATTATCTTCTAAGAAGAACATCCCACAAATGAGGTTGCTGTGATAAGGGTAGGCTATTTCTAATTGTGCCACTCTGCCCTTTAGAAAACTTACAATGACTTTCCAACAACAGTGCTCAAGCATCTGTCTGTCCACAGCCTTGCCAGCCCAGGGTTTTAACATTTGGCCAAATCAGAAGGCAAGTAACACTCTTTTTTTTTGACATCACTTACGTTACCCATGTGAGTAAATGACAATCTTTTTACGTTTTTCAATCATTTGTTATCATTTTCTTTGTGAATTGCCTGTTCCTGTCCTTTACTCATTTTTCTAATGAGATATTTATCTCTTAGTGAGTTGTAAGAGTGCTTTGTATATTTGAGATCAGATTGAATTTTTTTTTTCTGAGGTCAGATTAAACTTTTGTCTAAGGCAGATGTTTTCCCTTTTCTTTTCTTTTCTTTCCTTTTGTTTTTGTTTTTGTTTTTACCTTTCTTCTAATGATCTTTGAGGTACTTAAAGTTTTAATTTTCTATATCCTAATTTGTCAATATTTTCTTTTATGATTTCTGGATATCACGTCATGCTTAGAAGGACCTTCCCCATCTTAAAATGACCAAAATATTCATTCATATTTGTACTTCTGTGGTCTTCATGACTTGATCTCATTGGACTGAGGTAGAAAACTAGCTTGTGTCATAAATTGCTGGCCCATTTTCCCAACACCATTTATAAAATAGCCCATATTTTCCCAACTCCATTGAAACATTAGCAGACATAAAATTCCCTTAAATACTTGGATCCATTTCTGGACTCTGTTCTGTCCCAATGATCTGTGGTTCTTACAGAAGAAATTTTCATTAATGGCCTTTATAAAACGTTTTAGTATCTGATAGAGTAAATATTTATCATTTTTCTTTTTCAGAATTTTTCTGACTACATTCATTTTTTATTCTTCCAGATTAGCTTTATAATCATTTTTGTCAAATTTTTTAAAATCCTGTTAGGGTCTTGATCGACCTATTTTAATTTTGTACATTCACTTAAGGAGAATTGGCCTCATAGTATTAAATCTTTTCGTCCAAGAACTAAGCACATGTTGTATTTATTCAGGCCCCTTTTGTATCCCTCAGAAGAGTTTTGTGGGTTTCTTCATGTAAATTCTATACGTTTCTCGTAAAGTTTATTTCCAGCTACTTTTGTGATTGTTTTCTTCTTGACACTGTCAATGAGGCCTTTTATCTGACCTTCTAGAGGGTCATTTTATAACCAGAAAAGCTATCAGTTTCTGTATATATTGTTTTGTAACAGGTTATTTTACTAAATTCTTTATTTTTTCTAATTTCTTCTAGGAAAGTGGCTTGGATTTTCCAGATAATCATTGAATCTGTCAACTATGACTATTTTTTTCTCCTCCCTCAATATTGACTATTTCATCTTCTTGTCTAATTACAACGTCTAGCACTTTAGGAAAAGCGTTTTTTAAGATATGGATAACAACTATCGTGGTTTAGTTTCTGGATCTAATAAGAATATATTTAGGGTTTCATCAGCCTAACGTCTCTTGCTCCATCTTTTGCAGCCCCTTGACCACTCTCCTGGCCTGGTCGGTATTAGTCACCTGTGCTATCACAAACGTGAGGAATAAGGGGACAGGGTTTGAAGTCAGATGACCAGTGTTCAAGTCCTCACTATCATTTAGTTATCTATACGATCAAATGGCATTACTCCTCAAGATCTTTGAAATGCCATTTAAAAGGAAAAAAACAGAGCTGTTGTTATAAGGATTAAGTGAGATAATACAAACACTATGTGCAATATCAGTAAATGATAATATTTTTTCAAGTCTCAGGCCCCCGCTTCTCCTTCCAATACAACTTATATTCCACTCTTACGTTTATCTTCCCAAGATACCACCATGTTCACATCACTCTATGCCTCCCCCTCCACTGCTTGCAAATCTTCAGTTATTCCTTATTGCCAACAGAATCAAGTTCAAATTCTTAAACTTGCATCTAAGTCCTTCCATCATTCAATTGCAAACTTCCTTTCAGCCTTATTTCCTATAGCCCCCTACCACCCCCGCCCATCACATACCACTGCCCACACTTTACTCCAGCCTAAACGTTCTCCTCATTAACCGCTGCCTAATACCAAGCTGGTTCTCACTCCCAGCTCAGTTCCCTCCATCAGCCCCTGTATCAGCTCTTAGTTGCAATAAATATAAAAAGGAAATCCAAACTGGTTTAAAAAGTGTATTTGTTAGCACTTAACTGAATAGTCCAGATGCCACAGGCTTCAGGCTTAGTTTGATCAAGGCTGGCATGCCATTTTTCTGTGATTTTCCAGGCTCTTTCCACCTCTCTATGTCAACAGGAGTCTCAGGTTGTGTTCCTAGTCACCAAAGGCCTACCAGGAACTAGGACTACATCCTTACTCATTTGAATCCAGATTAAAAGAAATTAGATGTCTTTTCCAGCCATCTAGCAAAAGTTTTGAGCTTCTGCTTGATTGAGCCAACCAAAACCAATCCCTATGACTGGAGGAATGTGTGTACTGATTGGTTTACAGCCAGCCAATGTGCCTAGGTTGGGGAGGGAGTGGCTTATCTTGACCAGCTAAACCAACCAGGACCCAGCTCCAGACATGCACACTGTTGGAGGTGGATGGGGTGTTGATGATCTTGAATGCACTACAGCCCTTTCCACTTCACTTTCCTGGGACTTAGTCCTCCTTTAAGACTCAAGTCAAGCCCCAGAACTCTGATATTGTTCCCCCTCCGTTTTAGCTTCCAGGGCCCTCACTCTCTCCTCAATACATGGTAACCACAGCCATATTTAATTTATTTATATAGTCATTTGTCTATTTTTCCCAGTTAGAAGTGACAGAACTCACTAAAGCCTACAAAATGCTTTATACAACCTAGTTCTTTTGATCTTCACAATAATCCTCTGGGTTTCAGGGAGGTTAAGTGACTTGCCCTACATCACACAGCCAGAGATGACATTGCCCCCAGAGGCCTCTACAGCAAGTTCTCTTTTGCTCTCACTCTCTCTCACACATGCACACACACACGCTCGCGCACACACACACCCCACATTTCCTTCACTCCCCAACTCAAACCTGACCTGAAGATGCAGAAGCCCCCCAGGCACTACCTCCTTCTTCCCATTCACCTGAATTTCCAGAGCTCTGAGACTTCCTGCAAGAAGTACAGAGAAAGTTTCCTGCCAGACAGCAGTTTCTAAGATTTGTGTGACAAGGCCGGGTAAAATTCAAATGACTCTGGGTGATTTAATCTGCTCGGGGCTGGGTGGTAAATCAGTGCAGCCCTGACTGCCACAGCCGCCCCAGAAACCTACGATCCGAGCTGATGAGAGGAGTTTATCTGCAGATCTGCAGGTGAGGGCCTGGCAAGCGTGAACCGCGGCCCCGGGGAGTTCCCCTCCACTGCACTCGGAATACATTTGGAAGGTCCTACAGCCCACAGCCTCTCCTGGCCTACATGTTCCACCAGAAAACATCTTTCCCAAGGACGCGGCCCCAGTTTCTCCTTCCCCCCACCTCCCCTGGTCAGAGCTGGTACCCAAGTCCACACTGGACTCTTCAGGGGAAGGAGACCAGCACTGGTGAAACTGCCGTCTCAGTGCCAGGTCCTTGCTCACCCACACACCCATGACCTCATCTCATCTTCACAACAACTTAATGAGGGAGGCATGTCCATCCTCAGTTTACAGGTGACTTAATTGAGGCTCAGAGCCATTAAATAACTTGCCCAGGGTTATTACATAGCTAGCAGGATGCAGAGCCAAGATCCAAACCTAGATCCATAAGACTCCAAAATCCTCATCCTTTTGACTCCACCCCTCTGTGATCCAAGGGGAGTAAGAAGATGGCAGCTTCCATCAGAACCACCTTGTCTGTGAAGAGGGAGAAGGCTCTGGCTGAAGGGGAGTTGTCATCCCCAGCAAGGGAAACAGTAGAATTTCCTAAACAAAGGAAATGTCAAAGGAGAAGGTAATCACACTTATGACACCTACTGTGTGCCAAGCATGTGCCTGGGGCTCAGCACCCATCACCGTACCCATAACTCTGTAAGCAGCAGTATGCTGGTTAAGTAATTATCAACCAAGATCCGGAAGAAAAGAAAGAGCCCTGATTTGTAGTATTTGTCGATTTCTGTGGTGTAAATATCCCCTCCGTGGTCAGCTTTGAGCTGCCAGCGGGATGTCACTGAACACAGAGTTGGGAAGGGACGTCCTCAATCAGTTCTACAAGCCAGTAGGAACCCACTCCAACACATCACTGCCTGGGAAAGAGGTTTTATGAGACCCGCTTAACAGATGAGACCATACAAAAAGATGCTCAGCCTAAAATTTATTTCTGTACGATTTTCTAAAGTCCACATTCTCTCCACAGCTCCAGATTCCCTGAACCAGAGGTGATGCAGGGAACTATAGTCACCGATCTCTACTCTCTGGAGGAGGGTAGGCTCCTACGAGGTCCTAAAGGGCAGAAGAGGAACAGTGGGTAAAAGTTCCGCAGATGGAGTTGCAGCATAAGGAAGAACTCTCTGAATGCTCCTCTAGACTGACAGCTCCAGGAAGGCAGCATCTACCTGGTACATAGGAGATGCTCAATATGAATAAGTGAATAAACAAGTGAGGGAGGGAATGAAAAAGCCATTCCTTGCATGTTCCATGGATGCCTCAAACTCACCAAGTCCAAAACCAAATTCATCCTCCTTCCCAAGATGCTATCCCTCCTCCGGTGTTTCCCGTCTCAGTGAGTATCAACAAGCTGGAAATCTGGAGTCCCTGACTCTCCCTCTTCCTCACTCCACACCCAATCAATCGGCAAGTGCTCTCTACCCTACTCCCTTGTACCTCTGCAACAAACACTGTCCCCATCACACTCACTCTGCCCTCTTGGCTCAGACCCTCACCATCTCTCACGGAGCCAACACAGCCGCCTCCTAACTGGTCTTACAGCACTCATCCCTGGCCTGTGCCCATTCTCAGCCCCTGCCAAATCCATCATCCTCACACTTGTCAAAGTGATCTTTCAGAATTGCCCCCCTTAGCATGTCCCTTCCATCCCTTCAATGGCTCCCCATTACCCAGAAGACGGGATCAAAGCCCCTTGGTTCTCCAAGGTCTGGCCCCATCTCCCTCTCCTGTTTGATCACTTACCTCTGCCTCTGCATCATGTTGGTCTTTATTCTTCAACCACACTGAACCTCTTGGTGTCCTCTGCCCACCCTCTTTTGCTTCCATCCATGCCTGTGCTCATGCTGTACCCCCAGCCTGGAATGCCCTCTTTTCCCCCTCCACCTACCTTCCCTTCACCTTGAAAACTCCCACTTGTCCTTTAAGACATAAAGTAACATGATTTAGTAGATGATTCCTGGGAGCCCTTTTAGCACTAACATTTCATGATTCTAGTGCCAAGTCTTGACAGCCCAAGCCTTCTGGATTCTCTAGTCATCTTCTCTCTTTATAGGACCATGCAAGGACCCTTCAGGATCCTCTAGTCCAATTCCACCATTTTACGGACAGAAAATCTAATGCCCAGAGAGGGAAAGAGATTTGCCCAAGATCACACAGCATGTCAGTAGCAGAGTCAGGACAAGAACTAGACACCTGCCTCCCAGCCCAGGGCTCTTTCTTTGCAATACACTCTCCAGCCTGATTCCTTCCTGCCCCAACTCCAACAGATATACGCTCACCACAATCATCACTACCCTGCTCGAACTTACCTCCCCACACCCAAGCCAGACTCAGACCTTTTCTGCTTTTGCTTACGCTGCAGTGAGGACATTCCTTCACCTCTATTCAACTTCCAGAGACCTCCACCTCCAGGAAGCCCATCCTGATTATCAAGCCAAACCCATCCACACCCCACACCCTTCCCCAAACCACCCATATTCATCAGAAGCCAACAGCTAGGGCTTGGCTCACTCACGGCGGTCAACGTCTTATTCCATCTCGCCAGGTAGAATGCCCACTCCTCAGTGCTGGCTGATGTCTCTCATCATCTTTCTTCTCCTTCTGCTCCTCCTTTTACATCCCCCAGCTCAAGATCCAACTGCTTAGAGCAAAGAAGAGCAAAAAGAGCAAGGCATTTGAGGTCAGACAGATGGAGGCTCAAAGCCCAGGTCTGTATATCCCTGACTGGTTCACCTTAATCCGTCTGAACCTCACCTTTCCTTATCTACAAAATGGGTCCTATCCCCTAGGGTTGCTCTGAGGATTGAGTGACCTTGCCTGTATTACTTAGTAGGCTCTTGATAAATGATGGTTCCCTCCCCGATGGCCTTTCTCAGTGACTCCCTAAGACCCTTAGAGAGAAGGGCTCCTCTGGGCTGGCAGGTGGACAGACGTTGAATACACTCTCTCCCTCCCGTCCTCAACAGGCTATGAGCAGCCTGTGTGCAGAAACGCAGGGTGGAGCCAACCCCCTTCCCCACCCCCAACAATCTGCTTTAACCTTACTATCACGAATGCCTTGTTTATTTCAATATCATCCGTTTTACTTTAACATTCAGGCAGAAAAAAAATTACAAAAACAGATTTAAGAGGAAAAGAAGTATTTCATGAGTAAAACTGTCTGCAGCCGTTTCTTTCTCAGGAAAAAGTGGCTGTGATTCTGGCATGAGAGAGGGAAATGCAACAGCTTCACTTCACTGCAGCTGCCAGAAAAAAAGTGCATTTCAGAGTGGAACAGAACCTCCAAATTAAACAGTACGTCTCCCAGCCAGGCACTTCCTGTGCCGAATTCAGCTTGGCAGGTGACACCCCAGCTCCAGCAGGGATCCAGCCCTGACATGAGCAACTACCAGGCTCTCTGTTCCTGCCTGCCTCCGGCACGGGGGAACCAGCCCTGCCAGGCTCTGGCAAACCACTGACCACCGGGCTGAGAGCTTTAAGAGTGGCAGGAGACAGCTGGAAAAGTGGTGGATATACCTGGCCAGTGGCCAAGGGGACAAGACCCCTCCCTGTTCCACAATACTCAGGGACCAGCATGTTCCCCTCCTCAGGCAGTTTGGCATAAAGATCAGATCCAGAACTCACCGCGCCAACAAAAGTTCAGAACATCTGCAGCTTGCTTTCCCACCTTCAAAGGTGTCGTTCTGGAGGGCTGTTCTGGATGGAATCCAAGGGTCAAACTCCAGAAGGGCTCTGTCCCCCAAAGAAACCCCCGCCAAAAAAAGAAGAGCTGAAAAAGCAGAAAATAGCACATGACCTTCAAATATGTACAACAGAAACTGCCCAGGGCAGAGAGCAGGCTGCGCCAGGATGGTTGGCTCTCCTCCCTTGACTTAAACCCCATACCTCTGTTAATGTAGCCAGCCCACTGACACACTGAATTTCCTGGCCCGTGAACTTCTAAATCCCTTTCTCATGGGCTGCTGCTTCTCTCTATAAATTTTTCCTGTAGTCAAGGTGGGCCTCAGCATTTCTCCCTGTGACATTTCCTCATGCTAAATTCACCTTGTCACTCCAGCCTATGGAGAGCTTTCTGGATCCTGATCATGCAATTTGAGCCTTTTCTCTGACTGTTTCCCCTGTTGCAGCAGCTCCCACTGCTACAGGTCTGCACTCTTTACATCTTCTTCCGTGTCCTTGGCATATATTGGTCAGAACGGGGTAGAAGGCAGAGCCCCACAGCTGCGTCTAAAGACCTTCACAGACTGTCCCGGTTCCACTTATAGGAACGTTCCATGGTCATTGTACAGCCCAATGGGAGCTCCCTCTGTGCCCTCACAGCCATCCATGGTGTTCTCAAGGGACCTGAGAGATGCTACGCAGTGTCTTGGAAGGCAGCATGATGTGGCAGACAGTCAGGCAGATCCAGGCTTGCATCCCAGCTCCGCGGGTCTTGGGAAAGTCACTTAACTTCCTGGAGATTTAGTTTCTCGTCTGCAAAATAAAGACGGTCACGTCTAGTGTGCACGCTTCTGAAGATGAAGTAAAACCAGGTATGCGAAGCATCTGACAAACAGTAGGTGCTCAGGAAATCAATTCCTCTCCGCCACACACCAGCTCATGTCCTTCATCCACCGGTTGTTAAGCTGTCGAGCATCTGAAAGAGGTACCTGGTCTCACTGCCCTCTTTTCTGAGTGTCACAGATTTCACCACCCATGCAAGTCCCTTTTGCGATCAGCCAAAACCCTAGCTCTTTTGTATGTGAACTCCTCTCACAACTGTCTTCCCTTCCCGGTTCTGTGCAGTTTTTTGAATAAAATAGTACCAGTGGTAACAGCAGCCTAATCCTTTCCATCCTGGAGTGAAATTTAAAGTATCTCTATTTTGCCTACGAGGAAACTGAGGTTCAGAGAGGTTAAGGAAACCTTCCAAGATCACACAGCAGGAAAGTGTGAAAGCTAAGTAGGGCCCTGTCTGATCCTAAACACTAGGCAATAGTTCCTAAGTGCCGGCCTAAAGGGGACTGTCTCTGACCCTACTATATTTGTCTTTTGGGCCTCGGCCCAAAGTCCACTTTGTTGAGCACCTCGTGGGTCCTGACACTCTCATCCCTAGGGATGGTCGCTCCTTACCCCCACCTTCCAGAAGCTCTGCTCCCACCTCTTTCCCTTAAAAAGGGACTGGGCTGAGGCACAGCCCCCACTGCTTCCTGAAGGCCAGATTCAGTGGGTTCCTCGCCTTCACCCCAGAGGCTGATCTCCACACACACATTCTAAGCTCCTGAGGGTCTGACCCCTGGACCCTCGACTCAGCTGAAGCATGAAGCCAGCCTGGATCTTCTACCCAGCCTCGCATCAAAGTCCAGTCACCTGCTGCCAGACACTGATGACTGTGAACGGACATCTGCCCCCTGAGCCCCCAGTGGCCAGGATCCCCACCTGCCCAAGGCCTGTCCTCCTAGCCACATGCCCCGAATATCCAGATGCTGCATCCAGCCACCCAGCACGAACGTCCTCCAGCACTGACCACACGCCTTCACCTATCTCCTGACTCCTCCCCTCTCCAGGGGTCAGACCAAGCCACAGGTTGAGGAAATTCACTAAGCCTGGGGCCCAGGTCCACCCAAGAGGGACAGAGGGAGTGGGCCCAGCAAGCTGCACGACTGCAGCTCAGTCCATGGCCACCAAAGAGATAGCTCAGAAAAGGATTCCTGAAATGACACGGGAAGCCACCGGGGGCTCTGCTGCAAACCCTTGACAACACCCGGCAGGATGCCTAGAACCTGAAGCCTCTATCAGAGAACCAGCCTCGGGGCCTCAGAGGACAGAGCTTCGCAGCTAGCCCACCGTCCTCCCAAACACGTTCGTCCTCACCATCAAAACACAGCCCCTCCACCGTCACGCCCCCACAGCACGTGCTCTACAAGCCCATCCGCACCAACCCTTCCCAAGCCCACCACACCCTCCCGACATGGACAGAGCCCCCCCATGCTTCCACTAAGTATTAATTATGCACCTGCTACCAGCCAGGCCCTCTTCCACGTGGGGCACGTCAGTGGCCCAACCAGACCAAGGCCCCGCCTCCTGTGAGGGCTTTCATTCTAACCGGGGTACCACCAGTAAAAGACCAACTCAGATTAGTAAGTTATTCAGTGCACTGGAAGGTGATCTAGGAGGAAGAAAAATTAGAACAAGAGAAGGGGAAGTGGAGTGCTTGGGAGGGGCAGGTAGCAACTTTAAGCAGGTGGTCAGGGCCTAGTCATGACAGTGACATTGACGTGCCCAACAACCACGTACGTCTGGCCAGCAGCTCCCGGGCTGGACAGCACGGTCCTAGACATTTTCCCATTAATTCCTACCTTCAGTGAGAGTCTCCCTTTCACCAACAGCTGGAAAACCTTTGTAAGCTACCACATGCCGTGGACCTGAGTCACGCGACAGGAAGGTTGATGAAAGTCACCAGGTCAGTGGGAATGATCAGGTAACCTCACGGCCTCTTTCAGTTAATATGTGTTTTCCTCCTTCCTCCAGATCTTTCCCAAACCAACTGTCTTTGCCTGATCTTCTCCACTTCCCTTCTTGATACCCTGAAATGTGCTTTTCCATCCTCAGAACTCCTTCAAAACTGCTCCTGAAAAGGTAAGCAACATTCTCTTTCTTAAAAAGTAACCTCCCCTCTCTCCTTGCTTTCCATACTTTACCTGCACTTTGGTGAGGTCACGCCCACTGGTCCACAGGTGGCACTTTATGATTAACAGCATTTTCAGGGAAAAAAAAGTGACACTTAAGGAAACTCTTGAAAGAGATGCTAAAGTTATTCATTTGTTCATTCATCCAATTAATATTTATAGAACACACAATGCTACCGCGTGCCAGTGCTCTAATAGTGGGGATACAGACATGAAGAAAACAGCTAAAATTCCTGTCCTCATGGAGTTTTACATGCTGGCAGGGGAGAGAGACGGCGTAACTAAGTAATATACAGAGTGTTCAATGGTGATCAATGTTGTGGAGAATTTTCAAGCAGAGGAGCAAGAAGCAGGGAGGGGTGCAGTTTTAACTAAGGATGGCTTCATGTCCGCGCCCTCACAAATTCTTCCATTAAGCAAAACACACCCACAGATCATTTCCCAAACACATTGACACATACACACACATACACACGCCCCGCTTACTTCAACCTCAGGGAAACACACCCTCAAGGTCACACAGATTGATGACAGTCAGAACCTGCAGGACCCTTAGTGCCCAGAGGGAACTGAAGACCGGAGAGGGGAACCCGCGTGCCTGAGGCCAGCAGCATCAACAAAGGCACCAGCGCTTGAGAACACCCACAGACACACACCCAGACCTGCCCACGCACGGAGACACACCAGTCACACAAAAACGCAAACCCCATTCCCCTCTTCCCGGCAACCAGGTGGGGTGAGGTTTGGAGAGCTTCTGGCAATTTCAGCGTTGCCTGTCCATTCCGCCCTCTCCCACCCACCCCATCCATCCCAGCTGTTCCAGCCATCACCACATCTTCCCCCTGCCATAACCTATGTCCGTGAGTTCTCTGGACAGTGTGTGTATGTGTGTGCGTACAGATGCGTCATATGTGAACGTGTACACATGTGGTTTGCAATGGGGAGGACACATTTGTGTGTAAGTCTTCACGCGTAGGGAGTCTGCAGTGTGTGTGCGCACCTGTGTGTGCATGCTCTCAGGAAGACAGAGAAATTTATCATCTAAATCTTGCTTCTCCTGGGGATGAAAGCAAAGCAAAGTTCAGGTTTAAATCACACGACCGCGGGCAGGAGGGGTTCCCTTGCCTTACATGATTATCTGCGGTGTGCAGCAGAACGGGCTGGCAGGCAGGAGGCAGGGAGTCATTTGTTGTCTCAGGGCCCCTGGGACCTGCTGGGAGGGAGCAGGAGACCCGGAGTGCAGGTGTGGGGACTGGGGGTGGGGGGAGGCGGGAGAGGTAGGGGGGCCCAGCATCGGCTTGGGCTTCCTGGTGCTGAAGAAAAGCAGAGGGAGAAGAGGCAGGAACCTGCAGGCCAGAGAGAAGCCCAGCTGCTTCTTGGCCTGGAGGGATAAAAGAGGTCCAGGCAAGAGGCAGCACTGGCCCAGTGAAGACCCCGCCCTGCCAACCACTTCCCGCAGGCCAGGAAAACATCCTCAGGGCCCCAGGATGTCCCAGGCTTAGGCAGCTTGAGTTTGACTTACTCTTTTCTCCCTGTGACAGTCACCTCTCCCCCCTCCCCCCGCTCCCCACTCCATCTCTGTCCCTTTCTCTTTTGTTTCTGTGTATTTGTTCTTTGTCTCTCCCTGTCTCTCTGTCTCTGGGATTTGACTTTATCTCATTGTGTCTGACTGTCCGGCCCTCTCTCCAGCTGTCTCTCCTACACTCTTCTTTTCAAGGCCTTCTGTCAGCCCTAACCCCGAGGCTGCCCTCTGATGACCCCTGTCTCCTGTGGCCTTGCTGGTAACACATCCCTCCCAGAGTATGTTATCTCCTCTTAGCCTCTCGTCATTTGGGGGAAGAGGGGCAGACTGGGAGAGTTGGGATTAAAAATACCATTTTAGAAATGAGGAAACTGAGCCCCCAGAAGCTAAAAGCCTTGCCCAAGGCCACGTGGCTGTCATGGGATTAAAAATCCAGGTGTGCTTCCATTGCATGCCCGGCCTCCCGTAACTCCGTATCGCCCAGAAGTGGGAGCAGTTCCTCCAGCATCCTAAACCCTAAAGTGAAAAGGGAACCCAGTGCCACGTGACAGCTCATCCCCAGCTCAACCTCAAACACTACCTTGATTTGCAAAACATCCTAGAAAGCATAACGGCTGAGATGGAAGGCATGGGGACTCTCTGTATGTCCTCCAAGGATGCCCCATCCCAGCCCCACTCTCCCTTTATGTCTAAAATGTCTGCCCATCCCACATCCCCCAGGCCCATCTGGGATAAATGGGCTTCCTACTTCTTAAGTAGGTGCCTCTCAGGGTCTCAGTCTTCCCATCTGTACAATGGGGACAATGGGTCTCTCTCATACCGCTGAGCTAGGCCCCTGCTCCAGCCAACACAGCAGCTCCTTTCCCTCTCCAGGACCCCGATCCCTAAAAGACCTCTTGACTTCAGTCACCAAGAGCCCTCAGACTCCTCTGGAGGATCGCTGTGGTTCTGTGGCCTGAACCGGCTTGGACCACGTGGGCAGCGAGGCAAGAACCCTCAAAGCCATGGGCCCCAAGACAGAGCCACATCTGCAGCAGCAAAGTCCGACAGCCTCCCAAGCCCCCTCCACCGCCTCCAGCCCCCATCGAGAGGCGTCAGCACCAACGACCCGCCAGGGCCGGCCCATTTTCCTTTCTTTTCATTGCCGGCTCCGTGCGCAGTTATAGAACCAGGTCTCCACAGAGTAATTTACTGGCAGAATCTCTCCCAGAATCCAGCTTGAAACCAAGCTGTAAAAACAGCTTCGAGTGTAAATAATTCATGCAGACAATATGACTTTTTTA